ACTGTGGCCCTATGGTGCGGGCGCAGCTGTCCAGGAGCCGGCATGGCTCGGGCAAGCAGCTGCCTTGAAGCGAAGGGCTGACTGAGCCCGTGGCCTGGCTGCCCTTCCCCTTGAGAGCCGGCCCGCTGCAGGGGCGCAGAGCCAGCTAACTCTCCAGCCCCTTCCGCTCGAGGCTCAGCCACGCTCAGCCCGGAGCCAGGCCCAGGAGGAAGGGCTCACGCACGGCCATTCAGCCAGCCCCCGGTGCCCTCTGGGGCAGTGGGGCGTGCGAGGGCTGGCTCTGAGCCTCCGGGCTGTGGGGGGAGAGCGGTAATGGAAATGTCCTTGCTGTTGCTTGAAGCCCAGGATGGCTCCGACACAGAGAGATCCTGCTGGCCTGTCTCGTCCGCCCTCACAGCCAGGCTGCGGAGGCTGGGCACCATCTACCAGCGCTGCACCCGCAAGGAGCTGCCCCCCCGCGCCGAGGTGCTGGTGCCCAGTAACCATGGCTACTGGCTGCAGGGGGAGATGTTCAGGAGAGCTGCTGAGATGGACCCGGCCAACAAGGAAATGCAGAAAAGGTAATGGCTGGGCAGGCCCCTGCCTGGAGTCACTGCCCGCTGCCGGCGACCCCCAGGGAGCCACAGCCGCAGGGGCACAGTATGGCTGCGGCGGGGACTGGGGGAGCCTCCCGCGCTCCTCACCGGCCGTGTGTCGCTGACAGCTGCAGGCGGTCGGCTTCGGGCCTGGGGCTGGCTGCTCCACATCACTGGGGCAGGGTGGTTCTTGTTGGCCAAGAATGATGCCAGGCGGGGCCCTTACTCACGTCTCTGCCAGGACAGCTGGCTGGCCCCAGGCTGTTCCTAGAACTGGGGTCAGGGGGAAGTGTATGGGGCCTGGTGGGGCCCAGCGAGTGCCTCTCTCCAGCACCAGGCAGTGCAAAGCACAAGGCTATACGCACATCTCACGGCCGTGTGCCTCTCTCCCTGCCCCGCAGATGGACGAGAAGGGAGCAGGCAGATTTCTACCGCACTGTCTCCTCCTTTGGGGTCATCTACGACCAGGAGAAGAAGGCCTTTGACTGGTCCCAGTTCCGAGCCATTTCCCGCCTGGAGAAAAAGACGGACGAGAGCCTGGAGAAATACTTCTACAGCTTCGTAGCCATGTGCAGGACCGTCTGCCGCCTCCCCCTCTGGAAAGAGGATGGTGAGTGGAAGGGACAGTGGTGGGCAGTAGGGACGGTAAATATCGGTTAATTGAATAGTCAAGTAACCTCATGAATTCCTATTGGTTAGTCGACTATTCTAGAATCCCCAGGGGAGGGGCCGGCCGCCCGGGGCCCCCCGCCCCCCTCCCCGTGCTGCCATCCAGTTTCAAAACCAGCTCCCCTCGTGGACCGGCTGCTTGTCCTGCGCTGCCTCTGATACAGGGCGGAGCAGCCCCTGGCCGGGGGGTCTGAGCTCCCGAACCCGGCATGAGCCGGGCTGCCTGCCCGCCAGGCTCCATACCCTTGAAATGCGGAGCCGCAGCGGGGCAGGTCCCGGACCCAGACGGAGCCGGGCTGCTGGCCAGTTACTGGCCGGGGGAGAGGGGTGCATGTGGTCTGTGCCGTTAACCTGGATGCTTTTGCTAATTGGGGACTGGACGGCTCTGTCGGTCCCCACTGGGGAGGCCCCTTGGCTCAGGGATGGCCTGGGAAGGGCTGGAGCTGACGTCCTGTCTGGGGCAAGGAAAGGGAGGTGACTGCAGTTCTAGCGACCTGCCCGTCTCTGCTGATTGGCTGCCTGTTGTGTGACCCTTCCCACCTGATCTTCCCCGTGCCAGAGGCTCTGGCTAGAGACTTTCCCTTCCTGATCGGCTGGGCGGAGCTTGCACACTCGGCTTTCACTGTGGCTCACCGTGCCAGCCCTCGCTGGCCGCTCTGGAAAAGGAAGCTCGAATGAAACCAGCCCTGAGTTGCACCAGGAGCCTCCAGCAGCTCCGGACAGACGCCCTCCAAACTGAGCATGGCTGTTGTCCGCTACAGGCTGGTGCAGAGCAAGGCCGTGCCCAGTCTCCGCAGGACCCTGGCCCCGGAGGTTTTAATGCCCCGTTAGACAGCCCCTGTCGAAGCTGATCTAGGGGAGGGATTGTCGTGGTCCCTGCGTTTCCGTGATGCCGGGCTTGGCGGGATCCCTGCGCAAAGGGAATCGCACATTTCGGAAGCCCTCATGGTGCATCGGAGGCCACGGACCTCCCACGGTGCTGCCAAGAGCCCGCTGGGTGCAGCTTGCCGGCTGGCGTTGGTGGGGGGGGGCTCAGCTGCCCCCAGTGCCTGGCTAGAGAGGAAACAGAAAGCCAGCCCTGGCCAGCTTCCTGATGTGACTCCAGAGTCAGTCCCCACGAATCAGGAGCTCGCATCCCCTCCAGATGACTCTTGACCTGGAGACCCAGGCTAGACAGCCCCACCATGCTGCTTCTCCCTGGGGCAGTGTGCAGCAGAGACCACGCCGCCCGGTGCCACGGCAGTCAGGGAGGTTACTGCCGCCGCGCCCGGGCTGCTTGCGGGTGTGCTCACTGGCGTGGGCCCAGCAACCACCGCAGACCCGGGGAGCCCCCCAAAGACCACAAATGAGAGAAGGGTCGAAGGGGCCTGGCCAGGTTTTGAAGTGAAGTGCGATGAAAGCTCTTAGTAGGCTCTGCCGCATCACTACACACGTACTTACAACTGCGGCCTCAGCTCAACCGGCGGGAAACTCCCCCTGCCCCCCGGCTGGACAAAGACTGTCACCCCAAGACACTACTGTGTGCACAGGTACACTGCTGACGTGTCCGGTTACCACCGTCTGACGCTGCAGCACCTCGTGGTTTGATTAGATCAGTGGTCCCCAACGCAGTGTCCTCAGTGCCATGGCCCCCGCCCGAAACATCTGGGCTGGCCCCGCCCCCGGACGCCCGGTGCATGAGAGGCCCGGCCCCCAGACGCCCGGCAGCCACGCACGGTTGGGAACCACTGGAGTAGCTCCTCTTGATCCATCATGCTGTCGGTACCTGGGGGGGGACCCGGCTGTTCTGTAATGAGCTGCTGGTCCCACATGCTCTGCACTTCTGCCCGGTGCCAAGGGCTGGTCTGCCCTGGCCTGTTAGCAGTGAGCGTTCTGCGCCTGCCCCTCGCTCCCAGCTCCGCTTTGCTTTGTGCTAGCCACATGCTGCCCGTTGACACGGCCTTTTGTTTCAGGCCTTCATCTTACTGCAGCCAGGGTAGGTTTCCCAGGCGGCTGCTGCCCCCGTGAACCTCGGCCAAGGCGCAGCCCCAGTGCACGGTGCCGGAATGGCCGCCCTGCCTGATTTTTGCCTCTCTCCCCGCTGCAGGCC